TTCAGGTGCTTAGTCAATATATGCACAAACCTAGAAAGTCTCATTTGAATGTTGCTTTCATATTGTTAAGGTATTTGAAAAGTAATCCTGGTAAAGGAGTTGCATTTACTAAGTCAAGTGTGTTTGAATTGAAAGGGTTTGTAGATGCAGACTTGGCTAAGTGTTTAGCTACAAGGAAGTCTGTATCAAGTTATATGGTTTATTTTAACAATTGTTTGATTTCTTGGAAGAGTAAGAAACAATCTACTGTTTCTAGATCTTCTACTGAATCAGAGTATAGAGCTCTTGGATCTATTACTTGTGAAATAATTTGGATTTTGAAAATCTTGTTTGAACTGGAGGTAAAACATCTTATTCCAGTTTCTGTTTTTTGTGATAATGACTTAACAATTAAGTTAGCTCTTAATCCTGTATTTCATGAAAGAACGAAACATTTTGAAGTTGATCTGCATTTTGTTAGAGAAAAAATTTCTAATGGTGTGCTAAAATTAGTTAAAATAAGTTCTTCTGTATCAGAATGCAGATATTCTTACTAAATCTTTAAATGTAAAACAACATGATTTTTTAACAAGTAAAATAGGTCTTATTGATGTTTTTAGTAAACAAAAATAAATATTTCGATTGAGGGGGGGATGTTGAAAATAAATGAAGTTTGCAATCTCATATTTATTGGCTTAAAATGAAATATAAAATTGATAAAGGGTATTTTATGTTCAATATACATTCTTTTGCTTGTGAAAGTAATTTGCATGGTTAAAGACACGCGGGTTGTGAGTCATTCAGTTCGGGTTAGATTCATATCTGGTTTCTGAAGTATAAAGGAAGAGAGAGAGAGAGAGAGAGAGAGAGAGAGAGAGAGAGATAGAGAGAGAGAGTGTGTGTGTGTGTGTGTGTAGAATAAGTCATTCAGTCGTTTTCAGATCAAAGGAGAAGGGGTTTCTCTCATAGTGTTCTTCATCTTCCCTCTCGGTGTTCATCTGTTTAGTTTAGGGTTTGTATACATTTTCTGTTTAATACTGAGGGTAGATTAGGTTCTTTGTAGTGAGTTTTGAGTTGTAAGTATCTTAAAACCATCTGTTTCTTAATCTTCAAATGGTATAAGAAATGATGATGTTGGGAAAGTTTGATTTGTGTGTTTCAACAGGTTGTGGTGGTGGAAGTGGTGATGGCGATAGTTATTGTGGTGGTGGTAGCGGTGGCTGTATGGATGGTGGTGGTCGTGGTGGATGTGATGGCGGTGGTGGTGGTGGTGATGGATGGTAGTTGTGGTGGTGGTGATGGTGGTGTTGGTAGTGGTTGGTGGCGGTGGTGGATGGTGGCGGAAGCGATGGCGGTAGTGGTGGAGGTAGTGATGGAGATGGTGTTAGTGGTTGTGGCAGTGAATGGTGGTAGCGGTGGGTAGTGGTGGAGGGTGGTGGAGGTGGTGGATAGAGGTTGCAGTGGTGGTGGAGGTTGTGGGCTTGTGGTGGAGGTGGTGGCGGTGGTGACGGGTGGTGGCGGCAGGTTATCATATGTAATGTTAGAAATGAAAAAGGCAATATGATAATCTTCAACATTACCGCTTGAAGAAATTCTAACCCTCTTATCTTTTGGATGGAATTTGTTTTCCATCAATAGAAGGAAAGTTAGACTCATTTAGGAATCCAATTCCTTTTGAAATATTGAACCAAACATAGGAAGGTGTTGGAATTAAATTTCAAGTCCTAATTCCAACAGATTCCAGCGAACAAACCTAAGTTTACTACTCTTATTAAACAACCCAAAACAGAATCGTGACACAATAAAATTGATCATAATGACTTTTTTTGGTTTTCTAATTCTGAAAATCGTGTCTTTTCTATACTTCTAAATTGATCAAGACACTTCTTCTATAAAGAAGATTGATTGAGCAAGTTCTTCACTACATCAACACACTTCTTTTACACTTCTTTTATAAAGAAGCTTGAGCAAGTTCTCCCACAATATTCACATTCCACCATCAAACTATTTGTGCAAAAATATTCATCGCAAGAATACAAAAAAACGTGTGATCCGAATTCTCATCGGACCACCGACATATAGTGCATAAAAGAGTCCAATTCAATCCCCAACCAATCAAAATTAGCCTTTTCGAAAGTTTATTTTGCTTCAATCTCCAAGCCAAAACATTCACCTTGATGGACACAAGATTGTTCCATCAAGTAGGAGATCCTTCCACAATTAAAGTACACTATCTATTAAACGCTTTGCAAAAGTAATTGTGTACTTCCCAATAGCTTCTAAATCCTACCTCCATCTGTCACATTGTTAGGATAACACGTCATTCTGTAATAAAACATGCAACCCAATCCATTCATCTGATTTGACATCCCCTCTAGGTACACAACACAAGCACAAAGTCCACAAATCAAGCGGGAAACGATCATGAACCGAAACATTTTTGTTTGGATCAAGGCAGTAAACTCTAGGAAACGGATTTTTGAAAGCAAGTTTTCCAACCAAATATCGTCTCGGGATCTAATATTTCTATCATCACCCACTTTTTCAAGCAAAAAGAATCGATATTAATACATTTTTCATCACTTGTTTTTCCAAACGAAAACTACTCGCCCAAGGCACCACATAAGAAGTAGGATCATTTGAACTCCAATGACCATAAACCCACAAGTCTTCATGATTATTAAGGAAACGATACTTCCACTTAAACAAGAGAGGTCTATTAAAGGTACAAACTCCCCACTCCAAGACCTTCTTCCTCTTCTTTAATTGACATAACCTTCTTCCACTTGATCCAAGTACGCTTTCCATCGCCCAACTCGCCACCCACAAAAAAAAAAAAAAAAAAAAAAAAAAAAAAAAAAGTGCTTCTAAACAATTGATGATTGTTTACAGACACAAACTTAAATTGACTTTATTAACAAAATTGACTAGTAACTATTAGTGTCTTATTGTTTGGTGTACCGATAAATTGTAGATTACAATGGGTTAATTGTTAACTCAAAAAATTGCACAATATGAACATAGTTCAAGCAATATTCTGTTTTTAACCATTTATAACCCAATCATTTTACACTGCTTTATTAAATGTTAACCATTTAATGTAGGCCACTGATTCTTCTTCCACATGAGGATTTTGATAAATTCACTGAAACTATAAGGGTATTGACAACTATACCCTTATTCAAATTTATAATGTATTTTCTTGTTTTATGGATCCTAATTATTGGTGAGCCAATTCCGCCCAATTATAACAAAAGACATTCCATAGATAGTTTTTACCCCTTGTTTTTCTCATTGGTGCTTATTTAAACCATCATATTTTTCCTTTTTGACATTTCACCCCTCATTTTAATTTTTTTTTCTTTCTGTAGTCATTTTTTTTAACAAACAGCACTTATTTTTAAAGAGTTTATAAACACACTATGATAAAACTATTATACGGTAAACTACTTAACAAGAAAAAAAAAAACACAACTTCAAACTCATACATATCAAATTAAATCACAATAAATGTTTGTCTAACAAAAATATTCAAACTACTTATATGATATACCATCATTTGAAAATGCTAGATATATATTTAGTTCAAGTAAGTTGCTCTCTAACTAATATTATCAAACACTTCATTGTTAATTTGGAAAAACACAAGTAGAATTAGAATTAAAGTTTTAGGTTTTTGTGATGATTCCACAATCTCAAATCTTAAAGGGTCTCGCACGGTAGAATTTATTCATCTTTCTTTTTGCTTTTGGAGGTCTACCATTTGATCGACGAATTATAGTCCAAAGAATGTGTTGAATTTAGTTAAATGTTTCGTAATCATAGACATATAAGTTAGAAAGTGAGAATAAAGTTTAGGAACTTTTAGATTACATGTGTTAATCCATATTTATTAGCCCTTGTTTTACATGTTTTTATCCATATTTATTAGCCATTTTTATAACTATACGCATTATTAATCTTAACTATTGTACGTTATTTTGTGCTTTTAGTTTAGCCATTCTTTTGTTATTATTAATATCTTGTTTTATTTCTTACAAGTTGATTGCATTCCATGAGACATAAACATTCTCACTTGATTAGTTGTTCAAATGTTTGTTATTCGGATTTAACGGAAACCGAACCAATTAAATTGACTCATTTAAAACCGAAAACGGTTAAATCGAACCTTATTTGGTTTGGTTCGTTTAATATATTGGAAGTCAAAAAATCAATCAAACCAAATGGAACAAACTGATAATCGATTAAACCTGCCAAATAACATCCCTAATCATAATCAATGAATTAATATTTTTTTTTGATATTCAAAATAAACAAAATCATAATCGTCAATATTCACAAGAATCATAACCTCTTTAAAAAAGGGCCGGTGATATAAAAAATAACCAAAAAAGAAAAAGAATAAAAAGTACTAAAATGAGGGGTGAAATATTAAAATAAATAAAATATGGTGGTTCGCAAAGGAAAAGAGGGTAATAAAGTATAAACTATCAATTAAATGTTTTTTTGGTGGAATTGATCAACGAATAATTAGCACCAAAATAAAAAACAATACAAATTTAAATGAGGGCATAGTTGTCATATATTTATAATTTAAGTGGATTTATCAAAATGTTCGGTGGAAGAATCAACTCCCTTTAATGTAGCAATCATATCATTTATGTAACATTCTTTTCTTTTCTTTTTTTTACAATTTTACATGAAAGAAAGTCAGTTGTATGTAATAACATGTATTAGCCCTAGAATAATAATATAATGTAACAACTTATGTTACTATAAGACAGGAAGCGAATATAATGTAGAAAAACACAGAAACTAATTAAAGAAAAAAAAAAAAACTAGTGAAGATGCGATAGTAAGTAAGTTTGTATGATTGTATGGTTAAAGTAATAACATAGGCGTAAATGTAGACTCCTAACCTAATGGGTCTTCTCTAAATCGCATCCACTAGTTTGAAAAAGTAAACAAGTATAATGTACATACACACATATATATACATATTTGAATGTAAGTTCTCATAATCACTACTACGTAAATTGCTCTTTAACTTCTTTCTCTATTCTGACCTCTGTTTTCTATATATCATACACATACTTTCTTATATTCACATAACTTACTTTCTGCCCCTATAAGCTTTCCCAGAGCTTCTTGAGACTCAACAATGGCAGACGGTGGCATCACCTGGGATGACATCATGAAGGAGACTGTTGATCTTGTACAAATGACCTTTCTACCCTTCACCTCTACTCTTTTTTTTGCGAAAACAAATATTTAAAACTAATCACCAATGACGTTTTTTTTATTATTATTACAGGAGCATATGCCAATGGATGAGCTGTTCGACCAATTGAAATGCACCAAACAGGGATTAACCGGTGATGAAGGAAGGCGAAGGCTCGGCATTTTTGGTCCAAATAAATTGGAGGAGAAAAAGGTAATTTCATTACCCAAATTTAAAACCATAAAATATAAATCAGACTATTTTACACCATCTTTCTCCAAACCAACACCCTCTTTTGCACCATGTTCATGTTGCTTAAACTTTCATATGTTTCGATTTTAAGTACTTTTAATAATCAATATATATATATATATATATATATATATATATATATATATATACATATACGAATATTTATTTATTTGGTTATAAATGCTTAATAATATAATTAATACAGATATTGTAACAAAAAAGATGTAAGACAAATTTTTTTAAAAGCCAATAAACATAATGGTAATTTCAAATATATTAGAAATATTCTTTTTGGTTCAAAAAAATGGTGATGAAAGTTGGAGATTATCTTAAGAAGCATATTTAATTTATAACATTAATACAGGAAAACAAACTCCTCAAGTTCCTTGGATTCATGTGGAATCCTCTCTCATGGGTCATGGAGGCTGCAGCTATCATGGCAATTGTCTTGGCTAATGGAGGGGTATGTATTATATGTATATGTATATGTATGTATGTATGTTGATGGTGAAATATGGATCGTGCAGGGGAAGCCACCAGACTGGCAAGATTTTGTTGGAATCACAACACTGCTAATTATAAACTCGACCATAAGTTTCATAGAAGAAAACAACGCAGGCAATGCAGCAGCGGCGTTAATGGCGGGTCTTGCTCCAAAAACGAAGCTTTTACGCGATGGAAAATGGTCAGAAGAGGAAGCTGCGGATCTTGTCCCTGGAGACATTATTAGCATCAAGCTCGGAGATATTGTTCCGGCTGACGCGCGTCTTCTAGAAGGTGACCCGTTAAAAATTGACCAGGCGGCGTTGACCGGTGAGTCATTGCCGGTTACTAAGAAGCCTGGAGACAGTGTGTTTTCCGGTTCCACGTGTAAACAGGGTGAGATTGAAGCGGTTGTGATTGCTACTGGGGTGCACACATTCTTTGGCAAAGCTGCTCACTTAGTCGATAGCACAAATCAAGTCGGCCATTTCCAAAAGGTAAAATAGTTTAAAGATACTCATCGGGCAACAACCAGCCCGATGAAATATAAGAGAGAAAATTGGACAAAAGAATATACGTCGAAACTCCAAAACCGATAGACAAAAAACATAATATAGTTTAAAAAGAGCAAAAAAAAACAAAGAAAATGAAAATGATCACTGAGGTTCTTCTGAAGTCAAGACCAAAATTTATTGCATCTCAAGAAAAATTCACTATATGAGAAATTGTTACAATCACATAGACTAATCTCCAAAAAGATGTGTTATATTTGCAACAATTGTGATGATTTTTTTTGGTTAGGTGTTGACGGCGATTGGAAACTTTTGTATTTGCTCGATTGCGGTTGGACTGGTGATAGAAATAGTGATAATGTACCCAATTCAGAAACGAACATACAGGAATGGAATTGACAATCTATTGGTTCTACTGATTGGTGGAATCCCAATCGCAATGCCGACAGTGTTGTCAGTGACAATGGCTATCGGGTCCCACAAGCTATCACAACAAGGAGCTATAACGAAAAGAATGACAGCCATTGAAGAAATGGCGGGAATGGATATTTTGTGTAGTGACAAAACTGGAACACTCACACTCAACAAGCTCACAGTCGATAAAACTCTTATTGAGGTTTTCATAAAAGATATGGATAAAGACACGGTAGTTTTAATGGGTGCAAGGGCTTCAAGAGTGGAGAATCAAGATGCAATTGATGCTTGTATTGTGGGAATGCTTGGTAATCCTAAAGAGGTAATTAATTATTATATTGTATAGAAATTAATATAATAAATCATAATGTTTTACCTAATAGAGTCATGGTATGGTTTTGTTGATGTAGGCAAGAGCAGGGGTGACTGAGGTACATTTTTTGCCATTTAATCCTGTGGACAAAAGGACAGCAATGACGTATATCGATCAAAGTGGAAACTGGCATAGAGTCAGTAAAGGTGCACCTGAACAGGTATATATAATTAATTGAATATAAAAAAAATAAAAATAAAAAATTCTCTTTTGTTCCTTTACTAAGATAGTAGCTTGCTATTTTTTCAAAGATTGTTGAGCTTTGCAACTTAAAGGATGAACCTAGAAACAGAGTTTTCAACATCATTGATAAGTTTGCTGAACGTGGGCTTCGTTCTCTAGCTGTTTGTACACAGGTGAGTTTTTGTATTTTCTAGGTAACAGACGATTCCCAATCCTAGTCTTAGAATTGGGTGATTTTGAAGTGTTTTTGGTGGTTAATGTATGCAGACGGTGCCCGAAAAATCCAAGGAGAGTTCCGGAGGCCCGTGGGTGTTTGTTGGTCTCCTCCCTCTCTTTGACCCTCCAAGGCACGACAGTGCCGAAACCATCCGGCGGGCCCTCCACCTTGGTGTCAACGTGAAAATGATCACCGGTGACCAGCTGGCAATTGGGAAGGAAACTGGTAGAAGGCTTGGAATGGGGACAAACATGTACCCCTCTTCCTCACTGCTTGGTCAAAACAAAGATTCAGCTATTGCTAATATCCCTATTGAAGAGCTAATCGAGAAAGCCGATGGCTTTGCTGGAGTCTTCCCTGGTAAGGACACATTCAGATGTAACATCTGAATGTGTAAGCATACAACCTCTAAATGGTTAAGAGACCCTACCTTCTCTTAACCATTTAGAGGTTGTTTTAGCTTTACTTGGTTCTAGTTATAACTTATAAGTTATAACTAACCGTATTTATACATAATAACTCACTCTAAAAAATGGGTTGAATGCAGAGCACAAGTACGAGATTGTTAGGAAGCTACAGGAAAGAAACCATATTGTAGGGATGACAGGAGACGGTGTGAACGATGCACCAGCGCTAAAGCGGGCCGACATAGGAATAGCGGTTGCAGATGCAACCGACGCGGCCCGCGGTGCATCAGACATAGTCCTGACTGAGCCAGGACTAAGTGTGATTGTGAGTGCGGTCCTTACTAGCCGAGCCATTTTTCAAAGAATGAAAAACTACACCATCTACGCTGTCTCGATCACCATTCGTGTTGTCCTTGGTTTCATGCTGATTGCTCTTATTTGGAAGTTTGATTTCTCGCCTTTCATGGTTCTCATCATTGCCATTCTTAATGATGGAACCATCATGACCATATCAAAGGATAAAGTCAAGCCTTCACCTATGCCCGATTCATGGAAATTGAAGGAAATTTTTATTACCGGAATTGTTTACGGTACTTATTTAGCTGTCATGACTGTAATCTTCTTTTGGTTGGCTCAAGAATCCGACTTTTTCTCCGTAAGATATTACTTCCTTACTTCTATCTCACAACGCATTATATTTTCGGTTCTTTTGTAATTTGCACATAATTTATGGAATTAATGTTTATTTTTCAGGAGAAATTTGGTGTTCATCCAATCAAAGACAATGATTATGAGCTTACAGCAGCTCTTTATCTTCAAGTTAGCATTGTTAGTCAAGCACTTATTTTTGTTACAAGGTCAAGAAGTTGGTCATACACTGAACGCCCTGGTCTTCTACTTCTGACAGCCTTTTTCATAGCACAGTTGGTAAGCTTTTATATGTTTCTAAAACTTTATAAAATGATTATTTTATTTGTAATGTAATAATTAATTATTGTTTAATGAAATTGAAGATTGCTACACTTATTGCTGTGTACGCAAACTGGGATTTTGCAAAAATCCATGGAATAGGTTGGGGATGGGCTGGTGTGATTTGGTTGTACAGTATCATCTTCTATTTCCCTCTAGACTTGTTCAAATTTATCATCCGGTTCTCATTGAGTGGAAAAGCATGGAACCATATGCTCCAAAACAAGGTAAAAAAAAAAAATGTTCAAATTTACTTTTAAGTGCTAATTAACTCTATAAGTTGATTGATTGAATGATTTTCCATGAGAAACCAGACCGCTTTCACAACCAAAAAGGACTATGGTAAAGGAGAAAGGGAAGCCCAATGGGCCGTGGCCCAACGGACTTTACACGGGCTCCAACAGCCAGAGCAAGCAGGGCCTTTTAGCGATAAAGATGCCTTCAGGGCTGACGTGGCTAGGTGAAGTCAACCTAATCACACTACAGTCTACACACAAGGTTAGGGTTTAACTTAAGTTTCACATTACAAAAGAAACCATCTTTTCTTGTGTATTAATAATATTCACTTTTGTTTGTAGACTAAGGGAGCTTCATACACTAAAGGGGAATGTGGAATCAGTAGTGAAGCTGAAAGGTCTTGACATAGACACTATTCAACAACATTAGAGGGTGAAGGTGGAAATAGTTTAGTTCTTTCTCGAATGAGGAAAGATTTTGGCAAAGAGAAATAAGGGTATAGGAACGTTGTTTTTTCATGAATGAGATGTTGGAATAAAAGATTTTAATAAAAATGGGTCTAAAAGAAGCCTTTGTAGGCATGATTTTTCATATTTCCTTGCTAAAATCATTGTATTTTGAACTCGGTTTTCCTTGTAGAAATCTATGTTGCTGTTTACTTTGTCTCTCTATCTCTATGCTTTCATTCTTCAAGTGTTTATGTATATCATGATAGCATAAGGTTCGATGATGGATGGATTTCACATAGATGCACATTACTAGATAAATATGATTTTGGAGTAAATAACAGCAAGATAGTGGAAATTATCTAAGCTAAACTACTAATCACCTTAATTTCTTGAGCGAATCATGCTTTTTTGGGATAACCTAGATGCACAAGGTACCATAAAACTCCTTCAGCAGCTGAATCTGCTGCATTTTTCTTGTTGAATTGAGGCTTTCCAATACACTCCACCAGTATCCATGACTTTGAGTCTTCTTCTTTCATCTCAACAACTGCCTTGTAGGTGAAGCTGTTTCATGTACATCATCTCTAGGGTTAACATAGAATTGAAAAGAGTTTATTCAAATCAAAATATATAAATGTGTTAAGTGAACTAGAAATTGGAAATTAATGATTTTGTTGAGAATTTTGATCCTTTCTGTAATGGAATAACAATTAGAGTGTATGAACTTACGATCTGAGATTAGTCGGACCATTTTCGTTGCAACAAGTGAATACCGGACGTTTCCAGCGACTTTTCGCACATATCTCGTACAAGCATGATCTCGCCGTTAACTTGACCGGATCTTATTCCGGGAGAAAATCGATACCAAAAAAAGTAAGTAAATGCAAACACAGTAACAAGTTATTTATAGTAAAACCTAAAAATGAGCAAAGGGGGGTTTTTTGGAGCTTAAAGTCTTAAAGCCTGCAGTTTATAAGCAAAAAAGCGTCTAAATGATTCAAAAACAGGGAAATTGGAGTGAAATAAGTGAGACTTGGTTGGTAACTGTATTACAGTAGCATATACCTCGGGGAATAGGGGAGGAGGGCGAATTAATTGCTAGAGAATCGCGTGACTGCGGCGGAGTTTTGGCGGAGTGAGTACTGCTCCGGTTATCATCTCCGCCGCTTGGGAACGGCACCAGGCTCATGGTTTCTAATTCTTCCGGTAGACTTGTGAAATCCACAGTAGGACTGCACCAGTGTAGAGCATATTATATTGTTATTACTGTTATAGAAACTTGGTAACCGATTAATTACCAAGGTAAATACTAAAAAGGAATACGAATTATTATTAAGGTAATTAACTTTTCGGTTTGTTCACATCTAGGTAAATAACTAATTATTTTTTTTTTGTAAACATCTAGGTAACAAACTTGTTGGAAATATTCACATATTACCATTATGACCTGCTGTAACGTGAACACTTTTAACAAGTTTGTTACCTAGATGTGTAAAAAAAATAGTTAGTCAAATATGAACAAAACGAAAAGTAAGAGTAATTACACGAATGTCTCTGTGGTTTGGGGGAATTTGTGTTTTTGGTCCCTAACTTAGTTTTTTAACTCGGATGGTCCCTACTGTTTATTTTTATTGAGCGTTTGGTCCATGTCTTACCTAAAAAGACTATTGTGCCCTTATTAATTTATTTTTTGATTAATTTTCTTATTTATGTATTTATTTTTTATATATTTAAAAACATTAATAGACTCCACATATATGTATCTCCTCACCGTAAACCTGAAACCACATTTGAGAAATTTAATTTGGGTCTCATCAGTCACCATCTCATCTCTCATCCTCCTCAACTTCTATTTCTTTTCCATCTTTAGTGACATCGACGTCTTCACCATCCTTCTTTTTTTGGTCCTTCAACTCTGGCGAACCAACACCATAACCCACTGTCTCTTCGTCTTTAGTGCGTTGTGGTGTTGATTCGACGGGGTTGAAGGACCGAAAAAAGAAGGGATGGTGAAGACGTCGATATCACTAAAGATGAAAAATAAATAGAAGTTGAGGAGGATGAGAGATGGGATGGTGAGATACAGATATGTGGTGTCTATTAATTTTTTTAAAATATATAAAGAATAAATACATAAATAAGAAAATTAATTAAAAAAAATAAACTAATAAGGGCACAATAGTCTTTTTATGTAATTCAGGGACCAAACACGCAACAAAAATAAACAGTAGGGACCATCCGATTTAAAAAAATAAGTTAGGGACCAAAAACACAAATTCCCCCAAACCACAGGGACCATTCGTGTAATTTACTCTTACTTTCCGTTTTGTTCATATTTGACAAACTATTTTTTTTGTACACATCTAGGGAACGAACTTGTTAAAAGTGTTCACATCTAAGATGTAACCTGCTACAGTAGGTCATAATAGTCATATGTGAACACCTGCAACAAGTTTGTTACCTAGATGTGTACAAAAAAAAGATAGTTACCTAGATGTGAATAAACCGAAAAGTTAATTATCTTAATAAGTCATATTCTCATACTAAAACAACACACACCCGACGTTAACATTGTTATTAACGAAAATAAATTAGTTAATGTTTGTATAGGGAGAAATTTACTAAAATAGTCGATTTTCTTTTAATGATTTAGCTAAAAATTTACTTTTATCTAAGATTAGTCAACGAAACTATAGATGTGGCATGCTCGTCCTCGGATCATTAAATGGGTTGCGGTTTCATGGTCTCAAGGTTATTAGTCCATTATATTTAATCCTTAAAAAAATTCCAGATACAATCTCTGAAATGACCCAAGACGAAATTGTCTTTGTAATCTTTTATATATATATATATATATATATATATATATATATATATATATATATACACACACACACACACACACGAAAATAACACATTATTTTAGCTAGTTAAACACGACGAGGTATCATTGTTCACTCTTGTCTTCGGAAAATAGTTGGAGATGGGAGTTATTAGGGGACGAAGCTAGGTAATGCTAAGGTGGGTCCCTTGACCCACCTAAATTTTAAAATTTTTCAATAAGTTATATTTAAAAAAAAAAATATTTAAGACCTATCTTAAATATTTTGAAAGATCCATCTTAATATGTTCGACAAAAAAATGAAAGAAAAAAGTGATATAAACCGTAGACAATCGGAAGCATATCATATTTTTTGGTATGGAAGAATCAAACACACATCGACTCCATAAAGAAAGTTGTGAGGATTTTCTATTATAAATAGTTGTTTCCTCTTTCACACTTCCAACTTACTGTGTGAGTATAAGTTGGTTTTAGTATATATATATATATATATATATATATATATATATATATATATATATATATATATATATATATATATATATATATATATATCGATTTGGCTCTGTCCTTTCACCACCAACTTTTATACATGTTGCACCGGTTATTTATTTTTTTTTTTGTTGTACCGACCCGATTGAAACGGATTTTCTTTTGAGTTGAAATCGGTTAGGGAACCACGTACTTTTCTACTCTAGACTCGCCACTAGGAGGAATACACGATTTTGGGAGGATGTTTGGTTTGGAGATGTAGCTTTAAAAATTAGGTTCACGCGACTATATTATTTAGATACAAATTGTGCTTGTCTTGTTGTGGATAGGTGGCTAGGTTGGGTTATGTCGTGGATTCGGTGGATTATTGGTGCGAGGCTGCAAGGTCAACTGGATGGGCATCTTCTTCTTCTCGGGTTGGTCCACCTTTCTCCATAGAATGATGCTTGGCGGTGGGAGTTGGATGATACTATTGGCTTAATTTACGGTTAAAGAGACTTGTCGGTTTATTGATAACGAGATTCTTCCGGATGAGATGGAACCAATATGTTCCTCGAAAGATTAATATTTTGTTTGGCAAACGATGCTTGATAGACTTCCTATGAGATGGAATTTAAACCAAAAAGGTGTGGAAGTTCCTTCTTTGTTATGTATGGTTTGCTATGTTCGTGTGTAAACGAAAGATCATGTGTTTCTTAGGTGTGAGTTGGCAACCAATTTATGCCAAAAGGTATTTCAGTGGGTTGACATGGCTTGTGTAATTGGGTGGACTCGGTCATTTTTTCAAGGAATCGGAAGGCAGCTTTGCACTTGATTGTTGTCACGGTCTTATGGTGATTTGGAGGTTTAGAAATGGAGTTTTATTTAGAGATACACCTCCCATTAAAGATTTGTTCTTTGACAGTATAGTTGTTTTGCTTAATTGATTTATGTATAGAAACAATTATGTTAATGTTAGTTGGGTTGAGTAGTTTCAAAACCCAATTTTAGTTATTCGTGTAAATTTTTTAAACTTGTTGTTAGTAAGAAAAAGTCTAAGCGACATAATCACCACCAGTGTCATAAGGAACCCATTTATCTCATATTCTCATTAGGCATTACGCAATGCAAAAGCACATACAAGAGAAAATTAAAACCATATACTCTCTCTATGTGGAGGAAATTATGAAGCATTCATTACATATCCGGTGAGAATTACTGAATTAGCATGTGTTCTTGTTCTTAGTCCTTAATATAATTTTAGTTTGTATTCTATCTATGTAGTTTATTTGGAAGTCATTTTTTTATTACACTATGTATGTTGCAAAAGTACCAAATTGTCTGTATTATTTCATAAGTACTTATGTGAAAGGTTCAAAAAGAACCACGAGTATTCGCATAAGGTGGCCAAATATAAGCCCGATTAACTGATAAAGTAGTGGGTGCATTGAATGTTTGTATTTTTTTTCTCAATATCTATAGTAGAGAGTGGCGGAATTTCAAAGAAAGTGATTTAAAAGTGTTATAATTTAATGAAAGTTGGAAAAGAGGGATTCATGGGAATTAAAGTTGTAGAGCTTATCAAGTGAAACAACTTTTGTGATGTTGCTTTGCATTTGATGAAAGGTTGGAAAAGAGGGATTCATGGGTATTTACTTATTTACCTATTTTAAGCATTTAACATACATTAATGTAAAATAGATAGTATTTTTTAAGGAAAATTGTTATGATCCGAATTTTATGGTAGGATCATTTTCGGATTTACAAGATCGTGATCATAAGATCATATTTGATTCGTAAGATCTTACAAAAAAAATTACATATTTGTAGTATTTAAAACATGAAAAATGCATCTTGTGTTAGGTGAATGAAACAACCCTTGAAACATGGAAAATATCACCCTTGCTTTTATGTAAAAAAAAATGAGTAGGATTTCATATATATTTATCGAAATGAAGAAGTGTGATTTATTGTTGATCAGGTTGTATTATAATTTGACCTAGATATCAAATGACGATTATATTGTGTTAGGTGAATGAAACAACCCTTGAAACATAGTTTTCGATTGATATGTGTATGTGTAATTAAGTGAGAGCGTTTATGTGTGTATGTGCATTCTTTAATGAAGTATTATGAACCTTCCATTAGGCAAATAAGGTGGATGCAAGTCTTCATTCACTAGGTGAAGTGAAGAATGTGGATTTGGATTTCCATCGATCGTATGATTTGTATCAAGTAAACAATGCAATTGTTGGATTTTGTATTGATATATAACTAGAGTGTCCATTCAAAACACCAGGTGTCCATGATTTTGGATACATGGATATTCACAAATTTCATTGAAAATCCGTAGATATGGAAAATTGTAGGTGTAGTGTCCATAGTCCCATAGATAGCATTTTGGGTGGCTTGGTAGTGTTATCTATATGTTTTTAATACTCAATTCTTGTAATTTCTTCTGTCCTAATATTTGCAAGAACCATATTTATACTAGATAAAGAGAGATTAGATGAAAATGAAATCAGTATACGTCGGAATTTAAAAAGCACCGTATAAATAAAATGGTACAAATGTTATAGAAAATTATTAGGTCCAAACAGAAAATGCATGATAAACTTAATGATTTTTAAGCAATTAATCGAAAAGAAACTACATCGATCTATATGATTTGAGACTTTCATAATAACTGAATTAGATGATATATTCTTCTTTCAATTTTGCTAGCCTACATGTTTACAAAATGAAACAAAGCTCTTTCTACTTATGACTATGATGTCCATATGTATGCCTATACAGACAATATTAGATAAAATTGGTTATATTTAAGTCTGTAATATGTAATTTGAAAAATGGTGAACTGCATCATTTGAGCAGTCCATGTAAACATGTCCCAAGACTCGTATAAGAGGTCAATTGTGAAACACTTCCAGTATTTTAAACGTACTAGGGTTTGAACCATAAACTTTCTATATGGAAATTCGAACCTGATTAGGTTACCATAATTTGTGTCCATTAAGTGGTTTTCAACTTTACATAAGTATACACAAAATAAAAACTAGTTACCTAAATTAGGAGAAGAGTGGAAGTTCATTATTACATCGGATATCAATTAAAAACCTTAAAAATACATTTAAGAAAATTGAACATCACCAAAAAAAAATAGACAACACAACCAACATTTACAAAATTGGTTACCAATTCACTTTACGAAAATATTTTGAAACAATCATTGTAAGCGTTTATATTTTAAAATACATTTTTTGTTGGATATGCGACAAATATTTTATATGATAATTGATATAGAGTTATAGAGTGTATTTAGCAAAGATCTTTTAAAAAATTTTACTTTAAAAAAAAAAAAACTAAAAACTAAAGAAAACATATATTTTTGAAATATGACCTTTTACTTTAGAACAGAAGAACTCTAATTCAAAAATTATTTTTAAAAGAACTCTTATCTATTATAACAAAATTACTAGGTTACACATCTATTATTTAGATGTCCTTTTATCTAATTTTATAATTTTCAAAAACTTACCCTTTCTTTTGCCAAACATACTCGTAGCATCTAAGCAAAGTCGTTGGCACATTACTTGAATGTATAAAAAAAAGAACATACTCACCATTACTACATAAAATTTTATATTTTAGACACATGAAAATGTATGTCTTAAAAACACCAAAAACATGTTACTTCAAACCACATGAAACTAAACACCATCCAAACGAAAGTAACTCAAACCGGTCAAGTTACAACTTGTTGAAAGTACAATACCAGAATCTCAAACCATTAGTACATCCGGTTCGAGTTTGACCCGAAAGTGACCCATAACCAAAACCACACAAAATCCAATCCCACACTAAATCATGTGACACAAAATCCAACGTGATAACATGGAGCTTTCAATCCATTAATTCAAAAGAAAAACCCACTAAAAAGTCGCATAATGAGGATGTTTTGTTGGCCTGTACATAAAAGAAAAAACACAAAAGAGCCCATGTACTACTTCTTCTACTCGTCTTCTATTACATTAAATGTTAACTCATGTACATCGTACTCTCTTGTTCCAAAAAAATTATTACTATGACGTATGACCCCTCTCTTCACATCTTTATATCGGATTTTTGACACGTGTACAAAAGGTACTCTCGTACCTCATAACACACAGCTATTGTAGCACCCACAAAAACATCATTAGATACCCAAAATGATAAATGAGAAGGAGCCAATGTTCACGTGTTTCCTACAAAAATTTTAATAAAATTCATGTATGAGATATTTAAATTTTTAAATACATGAAAAGAAGCGTACAATTTTTTTAAATTCTATTGGGACAAATGATGTAAAAAGTTAGGACCTAATGCATAAACCATATTTGTCATTCTTCTCGTGGTTAAAATTTAACATTATGAAATTTGTTTTTTTTTTTTTTTTTGTAATGTAAAGGTAAAATGACTATTTAGTTTCATTTAAAAGTTTATTCAATTTGGAAGGGTAAAACGGTCATTTACTTAGTTTTTAAGCTCTTAGTGATCCTCCAAGCTCGACTGGTACCAATGGAATGAATGAATGCAATACGTCTGTTATCAATGGCCTGTAACTCGGTTCAGGTTGAACACAAAGCACAGCTACAGCAGCAACCTATAATTTCATTTAAAATTAAAAAATAAATTGACTTTTAAGTTTTTAAATTAATTATATAATACTAACTTGATATAAATGCTTCAAGTCCATTGTATCTCTAATCACAGGGTCAACAATGTTTGGAAGCTTTGATCTGTCTGTTAGCTGAGGAACTGCCTGTTTATCAAATTAATTGTTTCTTAATTAATATCTTGCGATTTATTATTTAATAAATAAGTTATGTTAACATTAACATTAACATAAAATAAAATCGTTACCCATGTGACAATAGATTGAAATAAAGAAGGTGACATTTTCTCCACAGGTCTTTTCCCTATTAAAAGCTCAAGAAGTATAACTCCAAACGCATACACATCACTTTTATCAGTGAGTTTACCTGTAATAACAATATTTAATAATCTTAAAAAAGAATAATTTAATTAAAAGGTTACGATTTTATATTATTAATTCATACCATCTGATAAATATTCAGGGGCCACATAACCTGAAGCTCCCGAAAGCTTTACTTTGTTTTTAACATGAAACTCAGTGGTAGCAAGTCCAAAATCAGATATCTGAATTTTTATTAAATCCAATTAGATAAAGAAATTAAATCATATTAGATTCTTGATAAATATTTATATATAAAGGATCTTACTTTAGCATTGAAGTTGGAATCTAGCAAAATGTTTGATGATTTGAGATCTCTGTGAATTACAGGTGGGTTGCATCGTTCATGAAGATACTCTAATCCTCTGTTTAAAGTTTTTTTTAAATTATTAATTTAAAGATTAAAAAAAAAAACATAATCTTGAAAAATCAAGAATTAGAAGTAAATAATGTGGATACCTTGCGATATCAAGTGCAACTTTCATTCTACGATGCCATGTTAAAGCCGATCCATGAGAAGGTCCTAATGGTATTGAATAAGAAAAAGGTTAAAATTGTAATTTCCCAAATAACTAGTTGGATTTTCCCATAATGTTTAATAAATTGTGTCATTTTAGTTAACATTGTGGGAAAATACAAATATTAGCATAAAGTGAAACATATTTAATTTTGAGAAATTGAGTTCTAGATAATCACTACCTTTAACAAGAACAAACAATAATGGAATGATGGCAAAACTGTAAAATGTATTAAAAAAACATTCTTACAAATAGTCCAAAAGTTATTCATTTTTAAAAAAGTAGTTTTTTTTTTATTCTTTTTGTTTATGCCTTTATGAATTATGCTCTCTTTAACATGAAAAGCGAAAGTAGTAAAGAAACTTTACCATGCAATTGGGATTCTAAAGAGCCTTGATGCATCATTTCATACACCAAAAATCTATTGTCATCATGAATGCAATAACCCAAAAGATTGATGATATTTTGATGCTTCAGTTTGCCTAACCAATCCACAGCATTCTGTAAACAAAACCCAATGAATTAAATTTAAAAAGGGTATAATTGTAATTTCATGAGGATTAAAAGTGTTACCTCAAATCCTCTTTGGGTATCTGGACCTCTACCATGGAGTCTTTTCACAGCTGCAACAAAATGATCATTGAATCGAGCTTTATAAATATGCCCAGATGAATCTACACGAACGATATGATCTTCATGAAAATCGTTTGTTGCAGAAATCAACCATTCGTAGTCGATAACAGTTACAGAGCCCTTTTTACCGGATGCGATTCTTGTAGGGGTAAATTTGTCCAAGATTGGACCCAATGATAACCCTTTTGAAGAATCTATATGAATATGATGTGATAATAATATTAGAAAAAGGTAAGTTTTTTTGGAATGTTTTAGTCAGTAAAAAAAGATTAAAGATACCTTGGCCTTTTGGGGGTTTGTTGATATTGAGGGGTTCTGTATTCTTTTGTTTAAAGATCCAAAAACAGAATAAGAACAGCAAGATTGCAGCAAGGAGAGTTGAAGCGATGATGAGTGCGATAAGAATCGTCGTGTTCAAATCCTCATGGTGAACGACTTTGATTTCTGAGACTCCTGTTTAAACATAATCGTTTAGCTAAAGCGAGTGTCACTGCGATTGCGAACCCATTTTGGTGAAATTATACGTAAAACATATCATCGAGAGGTGATGATACAAGCGTATTACAGGTGAGTCATATCATCGAACAGATGGAGTGCATTTTACTCGAGATTAACAAGGTACTCATCAGTTCAAAACTAGAGTGTGATTTACAGTTTTACACCTCACAGTGACGAATCACAAACGTAAAAGAAGATTCGATTTTTTTTATTTATGAAAAACTAATGATTTTAGTGAGATTTACCTGGAGAGTGAGCTTCATTGTCCGTGGGTATGCGAGAAAATGGAGGCTTTTTCTCGGTAGGAAGAACAGGATCAGCAATGGAGGAAAGAGGAGGGTATGTCCTGATTGCTTCAGTTGGCTCTAAAACTACGATTAAAGAGGACAAAATCCAAATGGGAATCATCCAATTCTTCGAAAGAAAATTCATTCCCGAAATTTGCTAACAGTTTTCAAGAATCTTTTAGGAACATGAAGGAAGTAACAGTTGTGGAGAGACAATAGAAGGGAAGGTGAACATTTAGGATATCTTGTGTTTGGTCTTGATTTTAAATCGGAAACCCACTCTAAATAGTAAATCCTGTTAAATCTCCATCTTCTCTTTCCTGTATTTGTCTCCATCTATAAAGGGGTGTTTGGATAAATAGTTTTTAGCTTATTAGCTTATTGTTTATTTGCTTATTGTGGAGAGAATAAATATTTTTTTAAAATGTGTTTGGATTAGCTTATTGCGATGGGAATAAATAATAAGCAATAAGTGTTTGGCAAAATAAAACAGCTTATATGAGTAAAATGACCAATAAGCAATAAGCATTCTCCCCCTTGCTTATTAAAATCAGCTTATTTTGCTTATTCCTACCGCAATAAGCTGATTTTTAAAGACTCCTATCCAAATACTTAAATTTACTTATTGCGGTGGGATTAAGCAATAAGCAACCTATTTTTTCCCTATCCAAACACCCCCTAAAATTCTTTGTTTTTTTTAAACCTTAATAAATAAAATAAAGGATACAATGAACAAATAAGACATATTATGGTTCTTAAAATACTTGATTAAGTAATCTAACATGTAAAAAAAAAGTTATCTAACATGTATGAGTGAGCTTTTTAAATAAAATAATTTTTTCATTTTTTTAAAATAATTATTTTCTTCTAATGCTTCGTTTGGACTATTGTTTTCATTTGGAAAGCTCCATGTTTGATTTTCAAATTCCAAAATTATTTTTTGGTTTTTTTCAATTTCTTTTTTTGAAAAAAATATCATATTTATGTTTGAAATGTTTATTTCGAAATGTTTTAATGTCACTGTTTTCCAATAAAATTGTTGATTTTATGTACTAATATCGTATATAGTTCACATTTGTTATGTTTGTTTAACTTTTTTGTTAGATTTAAATAAAAACAATTTTTTTCTTCAAATTTTAAAATTGTTTATCGGAATCGAATTTGTTCTTCAAATTTCCGGAGTTTTTTTTTTTTGTTGAAATCCAAAAATTTTGTTAAAAATTAGAATTTTAAGAATTTATAAAAAAAATTCCAAAACTAATAGGGACCTATGTACATAAAACTCTATTTCCTCACAACAAAAGTTAATCATCTAACTATAAGTTTTGCAAGATTTTTATTTCTTTTCAGTTATGCTTAGAATTTCTATTTACAATAATTATTTGTGTAATCAGATATAGTTTAATAGAGAAATCATAAAAACTTCAAAATTATTTCGACGATTTGACGTTCTAATTTTTCAAACTATGACTATAAACCAATGTTCTAAATAACATTAGACGTGACTTTGTGGTAATGTCAAGCTTCAAGTTTTTTATGATCCGTGACGAGCTATGTCGTTTGTAAGGCAGCAATTTTGTACATAATTAATAATTTTACATATGATTTCTGTTATTGTTCATTTTTATATACATATATGATTTAAAACGACATTTTTTTAAAGTTTGACGTCAAGTACAAGTCTTGGAGTCATGAAGATCTTTTTAGAACCTTACTACAAACTCATCACAAAAGAATAAGGGTGATACATACAAAACCTCAACTAGGATTCAAAGGTCGTGTTATACAACTACCACCGGTGATGTCTGGATGAAAAATATCATGAATAATTTTTGGAAATAAGAAGGCATTATTGTATCCCGTCAATATATTGTTGTAACATCCGAGTTCCCGCTACATAATTTATTCTAGTTTTTATTTTGCTTTATCCACTGAAAATTTGAAATTTGAGAATTATATGGTGGGCGTGGCGTGCCTATTTATTTGGCGCGACGCGTCTAGAACAATAGGTTAATTGTTTTATTTAGGGTTTTGTGAGTATTTAAAGGTCATTAACCCTTAGGGTTTGTTCATTCTCAGCCTCCAACACCCTTAGAACGGTTCTTGAGAAACCCTAGCCTCCATTTCTTAGTTTTAAGTCTCTCGTCTCTCTCCTCTCATCCATTTTATGTGTTTAGGTGGTTTTAGAGTGAAGTATTCTTGCAAGATTGAGTTTTGGAACTTTGCAACATAAGATTTCAACTTTCATCTATCGTCTAGACCTTTGTAAGTTACAAAGATCCTTGCGTTTATTGTATTTCATCTTTGGATTTATAAGATAATGGTGTTTTGATCCCTTCAATGGGTTTGATCTTTGGAGTTTGGATAACTCAATGACCTTAGAATTATATTAGACTTCATATATGACATTTGGTTGAGCTTATATGAGCTTTCTTTACTCCATGCTCGAAGTAAATGAGATCTTGGACATTTAGGAAACTAAGGCTTTAAATATAGTTAGTATGGGGTGTTTGAACAGATAAAGTTGGAAACTTTATCCATTAAGACGTCATTTGGATCCAGGTCTAAAAGTCGCGAGCTTGGACTTAATGGATTAAATCATTTTGAAGTTGATGAAACAGAGTAGACGCGGCTTGTCTTTTATAATAATAAGTTATTCAAAGTAGTTTTTTAATTAATTATCAACAACAATTGAAATGAGAAAAAGAAAGACCGGACATAATAATCCAATATCTAGTTACCGTAAAATATGTTTCAATGTAATTCAATAAGTGACTTATATTTTTGAAATAGCGTTCATAAATCAACGAGTATTCTTCGGTGTGCGGTAATAACTCATCTTTATATATATTAAAAGAGAAACCTGATTACATCATCTTCAACAATCAGGTCCATTGATTGCTTTCCTTTATAGTTTTCCACCCTTTGATCAATTTGATGATGTCATCCTCAAAATGTTAATAGGATTTTTTAAATCCTTTCAGAATGTTTATTAAGGAAATAATTATTTTTTTTTATTTGACATTTATGATTAAAATGTAATTAAGGAAATAATATCTTTAAATCATTCAAAATCGTTGACCCTTATAAAGTTCAAAACCATCATTTAATCAAATCCCATTAAATATGCATCTAATTCATCTATTTTTGATAATTATTTGAATTTAATATAAAATCCTGCCTCCTGTTTTCCAATTATCTCTTGAAAATCGTTAATCAACTCTGATTCCTTATTATTCTCACCAATATCATTTAATTCCAATCTTTGGAATATTGAATAATAGATACATATTGTCTCCAATTTAAAGTAGATTTTAAACGATTTTGTTTCTCATTGTTCGCGTTTTGAAAATTATTAATTATTCTCACATTTCTCATTTCTCCTTCACATGTCTGTTCTTATATCAATGCACTACAGAAATTGAACAAAACAATACATCAACCTTCACATCAGTTTTATTACGAATCTGCAAGGTATGTCCTTCTCTGCGTGTGCTTGTTAACATGTGTGTGTGTGTGTTGTGTTTCCCTTTGTTGATACCTCTTATATGTGTTAACTAATTATTTGTAACTATTCTCAAAGAAACCTGCATAAAAAGATTTACAAGTTCATAAAAATATTAACAACTTCATTTTCTTTATATAAAGCAAAGTGTCGAATTTCTGCATATGTACACATTTATATTGACTCTTATAGATAGGGTCAGACCTAATATAAAGTGAAATATAGAAAATCATAGGTACATGAATATATTCAGATTTCTATAAACATTTAGAATTCGTATAATCATTTTTTATGTTATGAGATCCATCTATGAATTTTCTAATCTTTCAAACCTGATATAAATCAAGCAAAAATAGCTAATCTGCATCATGCAAATTCAAAATAACATTTGTATGTGTTGTGTTTCTCTTTGGTGGTACCTCTTATATGTGTTAACTAACTATTTGTAAATGTTCTCAGTGAATCCCTTCATTGCCCACTACAGAAATTAAAATATATATTGTTAACAACATGAGTTATTCACTTTGATACTTTTGCATGCAAACTTAGCAACCAAAGTCTGAGGTTTTTTCTTTTACTTTGAATAATTATTCTTTTTGTTTATCTTTTAATTTCAATAATGGAATATTGGAATTTATTGTTTTACACGGTGTCTTGACAGTAATAGAATCTCACGACCATAAAAGTTGTATTTTATTTGCTTATCAAATAGTAGTAAAATAGTTATTAAGAAAACAACTTAACTAAGATTTTATTTAAATAGTATCTATTTTTTCTTAGTCTCATAATTATCTCTAATAGTTTTGTGTTTCTCTTTACAGAAGGTGAAATGACACATACCAGTGGCAATGAAGTCGTCTTTGATAGTCTTGCTACATAGATGCCTCGAATGAATCATAGAATATTCGTTTTCAAGTAGTCATGGTTTGGAAGCAGACTTACAAAAACAAACCAAACATGGTGAGAAGCTTGGACATGATTTTAATGGACCAACAGGTGCGATTTTACTAAATTAAAATAAAGTTATATGTTATTTTTTTCAATAAAATAACATTGGTTATTATCATCATAAATCACAACAATCAAATTCATCATTCATCATTTCAAGACCTGTTCGATAAAGGAGTTGTTAGGGAAATCACTAAATTTGGTACATCTAGAAACGAAGGATATTACATGTAAATAACTACTCAATGCATGACATTTATTCTGATTTATTTTAAGAATGGATTTGATTAGTTAAATTATGATGTGTCACTAAAAATAAAATTGAGGATTTAAGACTATACGATTCCATCCAACAATCTGTCATCCAACTTTGTTTGGCCAATGCTATTTGGTTTTGGGCTGTATGGATTTGCAAACTGTTTGTTTTTTTTTTTTTTTGTGGGGATTAGGGTGGGGGTAAACCTTAAAACAAGATTTATGCCAACAACAATCATTGTCCATATGAATAAGCAATTTTTAAAATTAGACACAAATTGAGAATTAGGATCATTTCTTTGCTTATTGTCATTCAATTTGCAATAGAATCTAGTATAAAATGACTTTGATGGAGTATATCGATCTATTACGAAACAGTACAGGGGCATTTCCGTTAATTTTGACGCAATACCACACATTAATCCTTTGTTTTTGGTCATTTTTGCTGACTTATTTGGTTAGTTTCACATTCCTTTGTGAAAATTTGGTGTTTTTTTTGGCTTTTGGTGCAAGTGTATGGTTTATAGTTTCTTTTTTCATTTTTTATTTATTTATAGCAAAGTACTTTTC